TCTGTGTTTATCTGGAAACAGTGTTCCTCAGAAGTCTATACAGCCTTCTGAGAAGATAGCTAGATTTTTTTTTTTAAGTGTAAGACCATCATCTTTGAATTGGTCTTTTCATCTTTAAAATAAAACACGTGCTGTAATTCAAATCTGGTTAGGCATTTCATCCAACAGGGGTTCTGTAAAAATACTTGCACTGTCACCATCACATGAACCTCAGCCTTAGAGTGGATGTGGAGATTGCAGAGAGAAGAGTCAGGGTGTATGAGCCTGTCTGCCCCAGGCGCAGATTCGGACAGTCAAGCCTTTTTCATTAAAAAAGGGTCATGGGGAGGTTACAGCCCTGGTTACAGTCCCATTTGGGAGGCGCTGATGGTGTGACCACAGCCCCTCCTAATAGAGTGGAGTTAATCACTCACTGGCCAACTGGAAAATCAATGGCTTTCTCCCCTCCGCCCTGGTCAGGCTCTCTCCTCCCCGCGGTGAACGGGCGTCAGGCAGGGGACTCAGGGACTCTTGTCCCTTCTTGCTCAAAGACCGGCTCTCCAGGAGGACAGGCATTTCACCCCAGGGGAGAAGAGCTTGTCCCTCTCTGCCTGGGAGAAACCTCATCATAAAGCGGTTCTGCCAAAGAGAGGAAGAAGCAGGAAAGAGGGGACGTGGGGGTGCAGGGAAGACAGTCTTTTAAGGAACGACATCATTGCAGCCAAAATGGAAAAGAAACTTGATGCTCAGAGATGATGGGCTACAGCACGGTTACGTGTCTACAGCAGCTTGTCCAAGTCAGTGTGCGCTTAGTTTTAGCACCTTTTTCCATGTAAGGAGGTGGTGAGTCACCGCGTTTTGGTTTCTCTCTCTAAGTGGATGTCTTATGTTTACTCCAGCAACACCGTCCACGAGCTAGAGCGGAAGTCCCTTGGCAGAAGGTCTGGAGAATCAAGTTGCCAGTGCCCTGGACCAGACCTTACCACGTTAAGTTGTCACCTTGGGCCTCACTAGCAGGATATCAGAGCCCCTTAGTTGGCAGAAAGGTGTCGCCAGCCGGAAGAATCACACTTTAGGGTCAACAGAACTGTTCCTTCAGATACTCTGGCTGACAGGTGTCCCTCCCTGAAGCGTGAGAGGCTCCACCTGAACTTCGGGGCTTGGGTGTTCCCTCACGTACAGAAGAGACCGTCTCAAGGTCTAGAAATTTCCTAGGATAGAGGTTAACTCTTACGCTAGGGGCCAGTGTACTTTCCTGAGCGAGACGTGAAGGGCTGGTCCCTGGTGGTGGTGACGGTGGTGGGGGTGGGACGGGGCTGGAAGCATGGAGGGTGGCAGCTGAGGAATGAGGTGTTGATCCTGGCTGCCATCTGGGTGTCTCCGTGTCCAGTTTGGAAGGAGGAAAAGTGATGACCAGAAAATAGGAGGGGAGCAGTGAGGAGCGAGTGGGGTGTTGATAACAGACAGCTGCTTGGAGGGCACGTAAGGAGGGAGTGTACTCGGCTCTCTAGCCTTTGCATTGATTCTGTCACACACAGTTGGTAGTCACCCTGGTCAAGGTCATCACGTCGAGGATTATTTGAAATGAGTATGAAATCGCCTTTTCCCAGTGCGGATAACACAGCCCGTGAATGTCAAGCTGAGAATGGAACTACATGCTGCGTAAAGAGCTGGAAGCGTCCACTCGGCTGTGCCCCCGATTAGTTGAGCAGATACATATCCAGGGCGCCCTCACTGATGACTGGCATCATCTGCTTTGCCTTAAGTGAATTTTCCTCCCTACATCCTGTGATTATGGCTCCCGTAATTTTGTTAGCCTTTATATTGAGTTTTGATTCTTTTGCATTTCCTTAGCTCTCCATTTCCTTAGATGCATCTTAGCGGGTAATTCCGTTTGCTCGCGGCCAGCTGCGCAGCGAAGCACCCCCTTGTGGAATGATGCTCCCACCACGTACGCGCCGCGGCTGTAGCGTGAGGAATGCAGCCGGCAGTGTCAGCTTGCAGAGACAAAGCCTACACCTGAGGTTTGGGGAGGATCGTGTACCGTTCTCATCACCGCTTGGCTCAGTTTAAATGAGCTGCCACGCGAGAGGAATGGGAAGACTTGGGCATTTGTGAAGGGAACAAAATCCAGGCGCACAGAAAGCCTGTGACCCGAGAGCTTTCTCAGACAAGGGCCACTTGGATAGGTGCTTCCCTAACGTTGCTTCACTGCTAGACATGGCTTTAATCCCTGGGGTGACAGCAGGAGTCACGTGATCCTGCACCATAAACCCAGATTGCTTTCTGGCAGTGCAGCCAACTGCTCTTGGGAAAGGCAAGCCACTGTGACTCGGTTGACTAATTCAGAGTTTGGGTGGATGAGGCTGCTGTCGCTTGACTCCTTGGAGCAGGAGTCCTCAAACTTTTTAAACGGGGCCAGTTCACGGTCCCTCAGACTGTTGGAGAGTGCGCACTGTGGGCCTGGGACGAGTCAGCTGCTAAGCAGGACAGGCAGCTGCGGCAAAAACACCCGGCAGGCCCGAGAAATGTCCTCAGCGGGCAGCACGTGGCCCGTGGGCCATAGTTTGAGGACGCCTGTCTTGGAGCCTTAATCACTCCAGAAATAAATCTTTTTTATTTCTTTTGAGTGACCACCACTCAGATCTTTTCCGAGTTCTGTTAAGAATGTAAACCTGTGACAGATGCACTGAGGTTTCCCCCAGCTCTCACGGCTCACAACACGAGGGGTTCTCAAACCTCAAAAGCTGTCTTTTTACAGGAGACCAGCATGAAATGACCCAACTCTGACCAGATGTGGAAGGAGATTAGACAATTGCCTGAAAAACTAGATGTTTGATATTAATGACCTTAAGCCTACAGTCGGGCTCTTGGTCTTACAGGTTACCACAATGGCTCACCCAGCTCATCACACGAAGAGACTCCTCCTAAAAAACAAAACAAAAACAAAAACACCGCCATAGAAAGACAGGCAAGGGAAGTGCGTTCACACGCTCTCTTGTCTCAGAGTAATTCAAAACTAGACATTCTCTGAGGCTAGATCTATTTCAAGATACAGTGAGCTCAGATCTCATTTTAATGCTATCTGTGCTTTTTCAACTAAATTTTTTCTCCACAAATTGTAAGACATATTACAAAACCCCAAACACTTTAGTCTACAGAGTTGTTTTTGTTTTGTTAGGGTTTAGGTTTTTCGCAATGGTGGAAGTGGGATGAACACAGGTAAAAATATTTGTTTTTCTAAACAGCATTTTTCTTTTTTCTTGGAGACAGAGTCTCGCTCTGTTGCCCAGGCTAGAGTGCCGTGGCGTCAGTCTAGCTCACAGCAACCTCAAACTCCTGGGCTCAAGCAATCCTCCTGCCTCAGCCTCCCGAGTAGCTGGAACTACAGGCATGTGCCACCATGCCTAGTTCATTTTTTCTTAGTAGAGATGATGTCTTACTCTTGCTGGTCTCAAGCTCCTGACCTCAAGTGATCCTCTCGCCGCGGCCTCCCAGAGTGCTAGGATTACAGGCATGAGCTACCGCGCCCGGCCCTATGACCAGCATTTTTGAAATGAACGCTTTCTCAGTCTTTATGGTGAAACACAATTTTTGTGCAATTAGAATTGACTAGAGTTGTAAGAAAGGTCTGGGCAGGTGTTGCTTATGCCACTCTCACAAGTTTTCCCGTTCATTAAGTATGCTCATAGAATTAAAGCGATGAATTGTTTTTTTAAAAATAGATGTGAAATAAGGAAATTGGCCTAGGTGAATTGGGAGATTTGCTCAACGAAATTTTTTAAAACCACCAGGAATCAGGACATATACATTAAAGTATCTTGAGAAAATTATATAAGTTTGTAATTTAGATTTAAGCATACTGCTTAAGTGCTTAATTACATCTATGGAGAAAAATTAGAGTGATTTTTTTAGGGTAGTTTGAAGCAGGCAGGGTTCTTTGAAGGTGGAGAATGTTGCTTTCTTTGAATCACTGCCAGGTGTATCCCATGCAGGTTGAATATCCCTCACCTGAAATGCTTGGGACCACAAGTGTTTCAGTCTTCAGATTTTTTTAAATTTTAAATATTTGCATTCAGCATCCCTAATCCAAAATTTGAAATGCCTCAATGAACATTCCCTTTGAGCATCATGTCAGTGCTCAAAAAGTCTCCAATTTTGGAACATACTGGACTTTGGATTTTCAGATTAAGGATACTCGACCTGTATTTGCTTTATACTGTGGGCTGTACTGAAGCTGCTGCTCACAATGTTGATTTGAAATATCTCAAGGGCTCCCGAGCTGATGAATTTATAAGTGATGATTTAGATAAAGGCAGCGGCAGCTCAGTATTTGTGCACCACCCTGAGAAGCTCTTGCTCGTTGCTGCGGAAGCCAGGACGCTGAGGGAAACGGTAGCTCATCTTGGAGGCTCACACTAGAAATGGTTTGTATTGGAAATGGCGCCACTACTGAGAGAGTGTTTACTCTCAGTACACAGTTGTGTCTTTTTGACAATTCTTCAGTTAGAGAGTTGTAGGCCTTTTAAAAATATAAAGAGGAGGAAACAAAAATTTGATGTATTCTATATCATATTTTTGAGTTGCTTGTTAAGTACTAATAATATATAACTGGTTTATTTCTACTTGAAGAAAAGGTATCCACTCTAAGGACATGACCTAGAACATCTCTTTACCCTAATCACCTGCTATGGAACATTCTGCCTTGGGAGACCTAGGGAAATACTGAAACTGCATGGTCCTGGTAAAAAGATCTCTAATTCAGATTATATAACCCATTCAGGAATAACCAAGTAATAGACCAAAAAGGGTAAAAACCAAGAGCATTGTTGCTAAATACAATGAGAGATGATCAGGAAGTCCTTCTGTTACAGCAAAAGCTATATATTGAAATAATGATGAATTATAAATTTTAATATATTATTAAACATTTCAAACATATTAAAGTTAAAATAAGGAGATGGAAAAGGGCATGGCGAATTCATTTTATTTTAAGATTTATTTATATTGGTTCACTTGCCTTCAACATTTGTCTTCCTTTCAAGGAAGATATGAGGCCCAAGTGGTATAAGTGCTGTTCTCATTGTGAGATGACAACTATCTCAAGTCCCTGGTAATACTTGCTTTGAATCAATACATAAATAAATTACAGACCATCGGGGATTTTTTGTACAGCGTGTGAGATTATAATGTCAATGATTTTAATGTCTATTTAATGTATCTCCATGAGTTTTATTTTCTTATATGAACCCCCAGAACATAAAGTGTAAATTTAATTGGTGGTACCAGTGGTTCTTGACAAGGGAAGATTCTTAAGTTCTGTTCATTGGTGGGATGGTAGGGATTAGCGCTTGGCAGTTTCCTCGCCAGATGTGACATCTTAATCTCTCAGCCCCCAAGGACAGTCAGTGTCCTCTGTTGAACTCCGGATGGATCTAATGGATCGAGATAATAGAATTTGGGTTCTTTAGGGATAGATATATGTTCTCATGTATTATATATGCCCTTGATTGACTTAGAGGCAGTAAGTAGTCAGTTTATGAGATACTAGATGGTGTGGTGTGGTGTGGTGAAAAGATGATAGTACATGGAATCAGAAAACTAAATTCAAGTCCAGTTCCTCTACACTGGTGGCATTATCGTTGGAAAGATACTCACCTTTTCTATGTATCAATTTGCTCATCTGTAAAATAGGGATGATGTGAACATTAAAATAAATGTTTGTGAAAGTATACTTTCAAAAGTTATTACACAAATGATTGTTATTATTTAACCCAAATCCTTCCTAATAATGAAAATGAGGCTTAAGTGTTTTGAAATGATTTTCCTAAACATATACATACATCTATGACTTAAATTACCAATCTTTGTACGTTTAGTGTTTTGTCTTCAAAAATTTCGGAAGCCAATCTGAGCTTAAAAAATGCAGCATCAGAAAAAGCAATAAAATGTCGTAACTTAATTATTTTATTTTTCTTACCTGCCATTTGTGCTTTAGTTATTTTATCTCCATTTTTACAGAACTTGGAATACATAAAGACCAGTTTTCTGATTGTCTTATGTGTTATATGGTATTTGCTCTATAAGTTCATTGTTTTGGTGCTTTAGGCACAAGTAAAGTTTTATTAATTTGAAGTTATGATTCCTTCTATCGGTGATTCTTTCTCTCACACACACACAGCAAAAAAGCTCTGAATTTAAAAAAATAAAAATAATGCCAGAAGTATGAGTGGACATTCACCAGTTGAAAAGAACTTTTCACACTGGATGGTAAGCAGTAGTCTCTAGAATGTTCCCAAATAATCATCACAAAGAAATGCTTTTAATTCACTCCCTGAAGCCAAATAGGAGACCACAGAGCAGTCTGTATTTCAGGGAGGAAAAAAAAAGTCTGAACACTGAGTAAATAAAACTATGGGCTAGTGCAACAGTCTCTTTTTTTGTAAAATTGTTGATCTGAAAAGACAAAGGAATTTGGGGATTCCTTTGGATTGATGTCCCAGTTGTTCTGGTTTGATCATTACACATTGTATGCATCTATCAAAATATCACATGTACCCCCAAAATATGTACAACTATTATGTATCAACAAAAAAAATGTAATTTTACGGCCGGGCGCTGTGGCTCACGCCTGTAATCCTAGCTCTTGGGAGGCCGAGGCGGGCGGATTGCTCAAGGTCAGGAGTTCGAAACCAGCCTGAGCAAGAGCGAGACCCCGTCTCTACTATAAAATAGAAAGAAATTAATTGGCCAACTGATATATATATAAAAAATTAGCCGGGCATGGTGGCACATGCCTGTAGTCCCAGCTACCCGGGAGGCTGAGGCAGAAGGATCACTCGAGCCCAGGAGTTTGAGGTTGCTGTGAGCTAGGCTGACGCCACGGCACTCACTCTAGCCTGGGCAACAAAGCGAGACTCTGTCTCAAAAAAAAAAAAAAAAAAAATGTAATTTTACTCACTATATGATAGAATATTTTGAGAGCAATATTTTGGACATTGATAAGTATACCTTTTTTAAAGAAAGCCTCCACAGCTAAAAATTGCTCATTAAATGAATCCCACAGTCCTAGTTTTGAGTAGGTGGGCTTTTTGCAGCTCTCTGTGGTATGGTGTTCACCTCCGCAGTGCCCTGTGTAGGGGCAGAGTTGGATAGGACTTTTTTTTTTTTTTTTAAAGAAGAATGAATTGGTAGATTTATTTAACTGAGTTTATAACAGTGCTGTCAGGTTTCAGTCTGAAAGGTTGGTTCTTGACGTGCCGATGGCCAAAGATGCACCAAAGTAAGGGGAGCACAGAAAAGAGGTTTATTGAGGAGAGAAAGACAGGATTGTAGAGCAAAAGCAAGATGTAGGTTCACAGAGCATGGTGCAAACGCCACAGATGATGACCAGACCCGCTGTTGCAGCAAAGGAAGAACAAAGGAAGGCCATTAAAAGGGCCTGGTTATGGTCTGTGTCTTGTTTTATAGTGCCTGGATTGGGGTCTCCCTGTGGTTCTGGACAGGACTTTTGAAGAAAAGACTATGAATAGTCCCAATAGCTTGCTTCTGTTGGAATCAATATTTGAGGCATTGTCAATCACATTTTGGAACAAAGGACTCCGGAGATACATAAAAGAGGTACATCAGAACTCATCTGGATGTGTGTTTTCTCTTTTTTACAGTGAGACATAATTCACATATCATGATAGTCATCCTTTTAAAGCATACAATTCCGTATAGTCATTAAGCTGTGCAACTATCGCCAATATCTAACTTCAGAACATTTTCATCACCCCCAAAAGAAGCCCCATATCCATTAGCACCCACTCCCATTCCCCTCCCAACCCTAGTCAACTGCTAATCTACTTTTTGTCTGTATGGATTTACCTATTCTAAACATGTCACATAAATGAAATCATACAATAGGTATCCTTTTGTGTCTGGCTTCTTGCACTTAGCATTCTATTTCAAGGTCCATCCATTTTGTAGCATGTGTCTGCACTTCATTCCTTTTAATGGCCAAATAATATTCCATTGTAAGAATATATACCACATTTTGTTTATGCAGCAATTGATGGATGTTTTGAGTTGTTTAAACTTTTTGGTTATTGAGATGAATGATGCTAAGAAGATTCACATACAAATTCCTGTGAGGGACCTATGTTTTCAGTTCTCCGGGGTATGTACCTAGGAATGGTTGGGTGTCTGGTGTCTCTTTATCCAAATCATCCTATTAGTAATCTGAAAAATAAAAATAGAATGACCTTAATTTGGATGGATTAAAAAAAATAGGATTGGTATGTACTGGTAGAGAAGCTGTGGTCTTTGGGTTATATCTCATTGTTTTCTTGTTACCAACAGTTAAACAATGACATAACTATTAATACTTCCCGACTTTTTGGAACTAAGCCCATGGATCAACTATAAATCCCAGTAGTTCCCACTGTTTCTACCCCATGAGATGTGAGGGGTAATCGCACACCCCTGTTAGTTAACAGTGCATCGCTTGGGCTGTGATTTCCCATGGTGGAGGAGGCTATGGGTGTAGCCAGGGGAAGGAAGAAAGATGTTAGAGTTTATCAAAATTTTTTTGTATGTGTGGTGGGGCGTCATTTAAAAGAGCCTCTTGAAGCTCCCTTCATCCTGCAGAGGACTTGGCTTTTATTATGATCACAGTGGAGGCTTCAGTCTGTTGGGATGAGGGGGCTTTGTGGGGAGGAGGATAAACGGGGGATCCCACAGTCCATAGTGTGTGCAACAATGAATATGTGGCTTTGCTGAGTTACTAGTAGTAATGTTTCAAGGGTCTGTTTAGGTCATTATTTTTTTTTTTTTGAGACAGAGTCTCACTCTATTGCCCGGGCTAGAGTGCCGTAGCATCAGCCTAGCTCACAGCAACCTCAAACTCCTAAGCTCAAGTGATCCTCCTGCCTCAGCCTCCCGAGTAGCTGGGAGGAGCGAACAACGGGGGTAGGGTCCCACAGTCTCCATAGTGCTGTGCGAACAGATTGAATGTATGTGGCTTTGCCTGAGTCTAGTAGCTATGCTTTCTCTCTCTCGCAAGGCGTGCTGTTGTAGGTCATTTTTTTTTTTTTTGACAGAGTCGGTCACTCTATTGCCCGGGGCTAGGAGTGCCCGGTAGGCATCAGCCTAGCTCACCAGCCAACCTCGAAAACTCCTTTACTAAGCTCAGAGGTGGATCCTCCGGTGGCCTCAGCTGTCTCGTGCCGAGCTAGGCTGCTGCACGTAACGAGCCATGGGGGCCACCATGCCCTGGCCGCCCTAATGATATACACACACACACACACACACACACACACACACACACACACACACACATATTTGGCTAGGCCGGGGCTTCACTGTTTCAGGTGTGGTAGGTATGTTTTATTCATTGTTTTTTTTTTTGTTTTTTAGGTTGTTCAGCCTATTTCTGTTCTCTATTGTTTTTAGCTAGGAGACAGGCGCTTCCTCTGTTGCTCAGGGGGCTGAGCTCGTTCGGAACTCCTGAGCCTCAAATCGATCCTCCCACCTTGGCCTTTCCCAGAATGCTTAGATTACAGTGGCGGTACACGCCACCGAGCGCCCAGTCCCTATGTTAGCGTCTCTGTATTTATGCTAGTGTGAATAATAAAGTCCTGCTGATTACAGATGTGTTAGACTAGGCGTCCTCAAACTATGGCCCGTGGGCCACATGCTGCCCGCCTAGGACATTTATCCGGCCTTCCAGGTGTTTTTGCCACAGCTCCCTGTCCTGCTTAGCAGCCGACTCGGCTCGGGCCCACAGTGTGCACTCTCCAATGGTCTCAGGGACAGTGAACTGGCCCCTTGTTTAAAAAGTTTGAGGACCCCACTGCACAGTGGCATTTGGATTGTAATAACCGAGAAAAGGCCACTACGCTAAAAGGAAAATGTGCTGTGTTCTCTGCCACCCTCATATAAGCCCAGCCATGCAGAACAGACCCTACTCTGGAAGTTCTTCCACACCGTGAAGACATGTTTTGTATTTTTTTTTTTTTTTGAGACAGAGTCTTACTCTGTTGGCCAGACTAGAGTGAGTGCCGTGGCATCAGCCTAGCTCACAGCAACCTCAAACTCCTGGACTCAAGCAATCCTTCTGCCTCAGCCTCCCAGAGTAGCTGGGACTACAGGCATGTGCCACTGTGCCTGGCTTTTTTCTCTATTATATATTAGTTGGCCATTAATTTCTTCTCTATTTATAGGTAGAGATGTGGGTCTCGTCCTTGCTCTGCAGCTGGTTTTCGAACTCCTGACCTCGAGCAATCCGCCCGCCTTGGCCTCCCAGAGTGCTAGGATTCCAGGCGTGAGCCACCGCGCCCAGCCTGACATGTTTTGTATTGACAGAGTTGGTTCACCGGAGAAGCCTTTCATCTGCCAGGGATGAACAGTAGACTATCCAGAGAACCAGATTTCCTTTCTACCTATATATCCC